GTCGAACTTTCAAAACCTTCTGATTGTTAGGAAGTCTTAGGTTACTTGATTTGTAATGTTTTTTGTAGACATATCTAACAATATCATTCTATTTTCTCATTAGGATCAATGAAAGATCACCCCCAGCAGCAACCAGGCATGTTGTCTCGTGTGACTGGCGGTATTTTCAGTGTTACAAAAGGAGCTGTTGGTGCCACCATTGGTGGCGTGGCTTGGATTGGTGGAAAGAGTCTGGAGGTGACCAAAACAGCTGTTACAACTGTGCCTTCCATGGGAATAGGGCTGGTGAAAGGGGGCGTGTCTGCTGTGGCTGGAGGTGTTACTGCTGTTGGGTCTGCGGTTGTAAACAAAGTGCCCTTAACAGGAAAGAAGAAAGACAAATCTGACTAAAACATGGAGATACGTTTGCTCTCTACAGCATTATGATGCCAGTGGCATTGAATTGCTAAATTATGGACTACAACTAAGTCAACTGTTTTGGACGTTTATCTTCTTTAACTGCTGTGTTGAAAGTATTGATGACTGGCTTTCGTCTAAAAAGAAGAGACCAATACTAGCACAGTGTATGAAGGTTTCTCATACTTAAATTCCAGCTTTTTATCTGGTAAAATGTTACACCTATCAGCTGTAACTGAAGATATATTTGAGTATTTACTATAAGTCTTTTAGTTTAACTAAAAATGTGAAAGTTGAATTTAGTGGATGATCTTTACAATTCCATATGTATAATGTGCCAGGTAACACATCTGTCCCTTCAAAAGGGAACCTTGAACTACATAAACTGTAATTTTGATGTGCCTACTAGTTTCAGATGTCTTAGTTTTTTTATAATGATAGTTGATTAGGCCAAGAGGCATTCTTTTTTTATTTAAGCTGGTAAAAGTAGCAAGATTTAGAGAAATTTAAAAGAAAAGATAAAGGGTTTTATGATCCCGAGTGTTAACCATCTTTTGTTAGATATACATTATATTTATTTCATCATCGATGCCTTACAAAAGAAAACATCTTTTCTAGCACCCTAATTGTGCAGTTCTTAGAATTATATATGGATTCTCTTAAAAGTTGTTTGTATGAGATCAGTTTTCCCTCTTTAAGAATCTTAGGAGTCGTGGGGTAAAGGAATTCCTTGCTCTTAGGTTAAATAGTGGTTAACTTTTTGTTATCTGTCTGTAGTTATGACCAGACAATATGCTTCAACCTTGGTTCATGCTCCATCATCAGTACACCTCACAGTGCCTAAGCAACATGTCTTTGCTAGTCAGAAGCTTTGTTGGAAGTTTCAGATTAAGGATGACAAATAATTTTCAGTTTTCAAATAATTACCTAGAACAGAACATCCCAGATATAAAAAGAATACTTCACATTTATTTTACATTTGGATGGCTTAAATTATAAGCAGGTCTTTTAAAAACATAGTAAAAGAGCCACAAATATGTGGGAGCTGCCTTTTAAATGGAATGAAATGGGCTCCATGGATTAGTTTTGAATGTAAAATATGTGCTTTCAATGGTTTTTAAATAGGCTTTTAAAATATTATCTCACCATCCTTTAAAGCAGCTGTAGACTTTGTACCATTTTCAAAGTCAAATTCAGGCAGGGAACTGAAGTTTTTGATTGCGGATAAGTGTGTCATGTCTTAACATATCTCATCATGTCTCATTCATTCTCAAAGAATATGACTTAGCTGAAATTCATTTTTTTGTTGTTTCATAAGAAATTTAAAAGTGGCATAATATATATATATATATATATATATATATATATATGTATGTGTATGTGTGTGTGTGTGTGTTTGTATACACACACACACACACACACACATTTGGCATTCCTCTTAACTAAGGTTTATAATCCAATCCTGAAAAAGAAATCTTAGTTTATACTTAAGTCCAGATATTGGCCTCCATTCTGCAGATTTTTTTTTTTTTCCTTGCAAGGGAGGGAAGGAAAGGTATGATGCTCTGGAGTAAATACGTAAGTGAAATAGCCTCCCTGAGAACTTAAAACAGATCACTTTCGCACCCACAGCTGAACTGTTTATAAACAACAAACAATTTTTACATTAATAATGTGGATTACGAACTGGGTAAGAACATTACTTTTCAAAACTTTCTTAAATACCAGCAGGGATTTTAAGCAAATATACAAAGGTTCTTGGACTTTCCTACAGTATATAAAATGGAAAAGTTGTTAAGGAGTTCAATTCATCAGAAATTAAATGGTCTTTTATTTTATGCCGTGTTTAAATTTAAAGTATACTTACTTGTTGGTATATCTGGTCAGATGTCATAATTAGCAAAGGCTTTTGTTTTTAACCCCAAATTAATAGATGAACACAAATAATGACCTAAAATAATGGTAGTGGAGTACTTGTTTCCTGCTGTTTGAAAGAAATTATTTCATTAATAGGTCATATTTCTAATTTATCTTCTCTAGTCATAGGTTCTGCTGTGCTTTATACTTGCATTTCTAAATATTCTTTAGTTCACTGTATGCTTGCATATTTATTTTTAACTTTGCTTATCTTTAAAATTGCTTGAGGAAAATAAAATGATTGTGATTAATTTCTGCTACAGAAAAGCCACCTGGTACATTTTATCTTACCGAGTTTTTTTTAAATTCTAAACTGTAACTTTGTTCAGGAGAGGCTTTTGCAATGATAGCAGAGAATTGTACAAATGAAGTTAGTCATGGAGGTTCTCATTGAAATGAACTTGCCATCTGATATGTATAGCAGTATATTTGAGTCTTTCTCAGTTTATTTTTATAGATTAGCATTTGACCTGTAAACAGTACTAGTTCACTTTAAGAAACTAAGGTAGCTGTACATACCTGGAGGTATCTGTTATTCAGCTTTTACAATGAGGGTAACTGTGTGTGACCCACTGAATGACTGATCTAATAATGTTGATACTATGAGTCCTGCACTTAGATGAAAAATAACTGATGATTGATTTTTTTTTTGTATTAAAGGAATGAGAAAAGAATACATGAATCTGTTAATAAAACACTATGATCTACAAAATATGAAATGTTTCATAAAGTATTCCTAAGGAAATAAAGGAAATTTTAAAACAGGGTAGTCTTAAAATTTTTAGTTACATAGCAGTTTAGAAAGTAAAAATTGTTGACGTTAATGAAGAAACAAGATAAAACATCTCTGAATATATATATATATATATATTGATGCCAACACAGTAAATGAAATGCAAATATATTTTAAACAACTCTCATAAAGATTTAAAATGTAGCTTTCTGGGTTTTAGCCCAACTTGCTGAATCTCTGGGGCGGGGCCCGCAGGACTGACTGCATTTAACCTCTGCTGGTGATTCCTGTGCACGCCGACATTTGGGAACTGATGAAGTTACAAAGGAGTGAGCACTTCGCTCTGTAGCTGTGGAACCAACTCAGACATCTCGCTGCAGAAGTGACTCAAAGGGATGGGACCCAGTTGGAGTAAGGTAGAAAATGGATATATATTGGGCATCTACTTACCCACCAGTTGCTGTCCACACATTATCTGACTTAATCACTTTGAGGGTATATCTTTATTCTCTTCGTACAAATATGGGACAGTCTTTCAATGTTACTTGAATTTCCTATATAATTTCTGAATTAGTGGAAGTCACTTCTCCAGCTTAGGTCCAGAAACAGAAATGGGGCCATCAGGAACAAGTCCTTCATTCTGCTGTTGGCATTCACGCTGCCTGTGCTAGATTTACCAGGCTGTCTAGCTTGAACTTCCTGGTGACCATGTTTACTGTGGCAGCTAATTACATTTTGCCACAGAAATGAGTTTAGTGTAATTATATTCCACTAAATGACTTAAAGGAAATAACTTTGTTACTAGAGTCTTTTTTCACACAGGAAATAAAAATTTGACTCTAGGGTTTTATGTAAGAGTATTTCCCCCTGCTCTGTTGTTGAATTATGAATTATTTTAAATTTTATTCATAGATCTGAATAAAAATGCAAGAATGGAAAAAGGCAGATTCAAAGGTTTACAAAAGAAAATGTAGTAACATTTAGTCTAACGGAATTTAAAGTCAATATATTGATTTTTTTTAAAAAATCTATTTTTATTGATTTCAGAGAGGAAGGGAGAAGGGAAGAGAGAGAAACATCAATAATGAGAAACACCTGCTGACTCCTGCACGGCCCCTACTGGGGATCAAGCCCGCAACCCAAGCATGTGCCCTTGACCGGAATCGAACCCGACAGGCTGATGTGGATTTTAACTTAATCTTTTCAAGTTAGAGTAAGTTAACAAATGTATTTTTAAAACTGTATGTGTCTCAAGTTCTGTATATGGGCCTATGTTGGAAGCTGCCTATTGCCTTCACTAAAAGAGAGGTGTGGACAAGGAACCTGGAAGGCTGGTCAACCTTGAAGCTCTGAAAGGTCAGAGCCAACCACCCACAGTCTAGTTGAGACAAAGGGAGCTAAGCAACATCCACCTTTTAGCTTTATGTAAATCCTTGCTGATTGGCTATTATTGGAATCGCCTGCCAAAGGGTATGGGTGTATCCCATAGTCTCAATAAAAGGGATAGCAAGGCCAGAGCGGGGTGGAGTCCTTCCCCTTGAGTTGGGCTCCCGCTTCCCAATATTTCCAAATTAATATGTACAAGTCTCTTTCATTTGTGTGCAACTTCCTCCAGAGCCAGAACCCTGAACCTGAACCCTGAACACTTGTAACTGGCAACCCAAACGTGGGGCGGTCATATTTGCAGGCCCGTGCCCCTAAATTTCACTGCTGTAATGACTAAATTAATGGCCACAAAGCACACAGGGTCACTCAGTTCTGACAAACTTTCTTATAACTCTCCTACCACCCACTCCATCAACCTGCCTACACCTGATGCCACACTCAGACCAGGACCAGTATCTGTGCGCTTATCCAGTGTGCCGACCTTCACTTCCTGGAGGATATGAAACCTAGTTTTCCATCTCCATCTCTCTTGGGTCATACCCATCAGTATGTACTAGTAAAGTCTTAGTCTTTAAAGAAAATTTTCTTGAAAAAAACTGGTTTCTTCCTCTTCATCTAGCCTTTCAACCTACTCCAGTTGCTTTCCTACCTTTCTCAGTCCATCAGAGTGACTCCTGATATAGGGCCAACTAATGATTTCCTGCTTGCCAAGTCCATTAGTCACCTGTTTGTATCTCAGTTGGCATCTCCATGGCATTCAATCTTATTGACCATGCCCTCTTTTCTTGGCAGACTTCCACTGGTGAACCCTTTCCAGGAATGGCCAGCCACTGCTACAAACCTGCACTTTGTTTCTGGATAAGCTCATTGAGAGCCATAGCTTTACATTTCATAGATATGCGCCGGTGACCCCTGGATATCTATCTCCATTCCTAACTTCTCACAATCCTGGACTTTAGCATTTGCCTCTGACCTCACTGCTCAGATATCTAGTAGATATCTAAAAAATTAACATCTAAAAGGTGACTACATAATATACAATGTATTTCAAACTGAGACCATTGAGAAAGCCCCACTGAAAGTATCTAGTTTCTCCAAGGGTTTCCCATCGCACTCAGAATGAGATTCTGCTCTTTAGATGGACGTGTAATACTCATCTTATCCTGCACCACTCTCCTTGCCCCTGCTCCCATTGTACTACTATTCCTTTTCTTGAACAAACATCCCCATGAGATTTTGGGTAACTAACCCTCTGTGTGCCTGAATCTTCTCAACTGTAGACCAGTAAACAATGGTACCGGACTCCTAGTGTTGCAAAGCAGTGTACTTGGCACTCAGTGGTGTGTAGATTTCTTTCCCAAGGAACTTAACAGAACTGGATAGTGAGGGCTACTTGCATTTGCTAAAGACATGGCCTACATTTTTCATAATATTTTCCTTAAGAAAAGGCCATGCACACATAGTGCACAGAGGCTTGACTATCAGAGTCAATTGTTTGGTTGTTAAAAGTTCAAACTCCACAGCTGAAAGTGGGCCAGTCTTTATCTGGGTAATGTTTATCTTGGCAAGATTTAGAAATAGAAATGTGAAATGCTACTTAAGTACCGACCATCACACACTCCCTTTTCTAGGCAGACCTGGATTTTCAGAAAGTTCTTAAAAATGCTCCATGTACTTCCAATGTATATGAATTAGATCATTTCAAATTGAAGGCATTTTACAGAGAAGTTTTCAGGAAAAGCCCTAAATTTGTTGGTACTCACTCTTTTGGCAGGTCAGGGAGAGGTGACTTTTTTCATGCCAACTCATAAGCAATCCTTTTTCTACTCACAAGGTTTGAAAAGAAGCCGGATCACAGTAAATCTGGGCTGTCACTTGGCAGCTGAGCAGCCTCTCTAAGCTTCAGTTTCCTCATCTGTAAATGGGGAAAGTAATGAATGCACTTAAAAGCGCTTCATGAGAGAGAAAAATGGTCAATTTTAAACAAGCTGACCATGCAAATAAGCTCTCGTTGTTCTTTCTGGATGAGTAATTCTTGGTTCTGAAAGACACTCATTCCAACTGGGAGATAAAATCAGCTTTCTCTAAAAAAAATGTATTAGAAATCTGCTGTTTCACTTTAACACTACAGAACTCTCACCATGGCAGTTGTTTCAGAGCTGGTGGTGAGAAAGAAAGCTGGGTCTACATCCCAGATGAAATGTGCTAGATAAATTTAAAAAAGACACTTGTTTCCCTAGTTTGGTGGTTGAGTGTCAACCAATGAATCAGGATGTCATGGTTTGACTCCCAAACCGGGCATATGCCTAGGTTGCAGGCTCAATTCCCAGTTGGGGATGTGCAGGAGGCAGCTGATCATTGATTCTCTCTCATCATTGATGTTTCTCTCTTCCTCTCCCTCTCTCTGAAATCAATAAAAATAAGTGTGTTTTTTTAATTGACACTTGTCAGTTTCTCAGAAATGATTCACTTATATCACACTAATGTGCCATTGAATACAATAATTTTTTAAAAAATAGCCTAAGATCAAAACTAGCAACTTTTATTTAAAACAAATGTATTTATATTTTTTTAATATAGCATGTGAGTTGGGGGATATTTACTTAGAGGTAAAATGACTGGTGCCTACAAACAGCCTGACTCCTGTGTCTTTGCTACGCAGTTTCACTCTGCACCGCCAGAGGGAAGCAGTATCAGCCAGTTACTCATCAACATGTAACGGTGCCACAGGATTAAATAATGGCCTTCCTTTTTTGGCCTGGATTTTACCAAAGTTAGCCTCAAACTCTTTTTTCGTCCCATTTAGACTGGCTAGGTGTCCATCCTTTACTCTGTAGCCCAAGGAATTCAGTTTCCTTATCCTGTACTGCACTATCTGCGGTGTTAATTCCAGAACCATGGGCGTTTCTCTTATTTGAGCTATGGAAATTCCTTCTTTCAATAATCCCTGAATTCTCTCTTCCAAAACAGGAACGGAATAATACAAAAGGGCAGGACATTTCAAAACTAACTGCTTCAGGTCGTGATCTGTGCATTTAAAAGCATTTTTAGAGAAGGAAATACTGTTCTGTATACTTTTTGGACCAAGTTGAAAGAGAAACCCTTTCAGTTTAGACAGAAGTTGGAGAATTTCAGAGTCTGTGAAACCTTGCTCCTGGAGAAATTCCAGTGTTTCCTTTATAGCTGCTGGAGAATTTAACAAAATGAATGGGTTTTGGCTTAATAACTTTAGTAACCAAACTTTCATGTTGGTCTCAGAGCTACCTAAATTTAGATAACTCTCTTGGAGAACCCTTATCACCTGCTTATTCTTCTCAACAGGATTATTAAAAATACTAGGAGCAGTTGTCAAAAATCTGCTAATGACCACATTTTTGAGTCCCAGCTCTTGAAAGAACTGAACATTCAGTTTCCGGTTCTCCGGGTCTTTAACGGTAAAGAAAGATTCTGGAAACTGTTCTATTAACTTGACCAACTCTTCCTCACTTTTGCAGACGGACTGCCAGAGTTCTCTCTGGGAGTTAACAGCGGTTGGACTGCAGACAATGGCTTCGGGGCAGCGTTCCAAAATGCTGGCTACTGCAGTCTCACTGGCACCTAGCTGTTGTAAAATATTTGCAATTTCTTCAACGTAGGTCTCATCCTCCAGAAGGACCCATCCTTTTAATCTGCGTATTTTCCTGATGTCAACTGAAAACTGATGGAGCTTTTCCACTGTTCTTTGATTTTCCTTGTTAGGCTGATGGTTAGTTGTATAGGTGAAGGCAGCTAAAAAAGGTCTGTGTTTGGGAGCTGGTAGCATCTTTCTGGAAGAACACAGCCTGCAAGGCTGGGATCGCAGCAGCAACTTCCACAGCATGCCTGAAATCCACAGCTAATCCCCACCGTCCAGGGACGCAGGAGGTACTCAGAGGGCCTGTGAGAGAGAAAATACAGGATTTAACACATGGGCTGTTGCCTTGTAGAACACAAACCTGAGCTGCAAGCAGGAAGTGTTGAAGTAACATGGATTTCAATTAGACAGGAAAACGACGTGTGTGGAATATTAAATATGTCCTCTTACGTGATCTGTAAAGTAACTACTTCTTCACAATTTAGACATATTTTTTAAGTACATTGTCATTTGAGCTTTGCAGCAACCTCGTGAAATGGTTATTTCTCTTTCACGGAGCAGTAGCAAGACCACAAAAAGTTCAAAGAATCACAGACCGTAGATGTTATTTTGACACAATTTCTCCCTCCTACAACTCTGATAGGTTTCTCTTTAGGAGACATATATTACTTACTTACATACACACAGAGGTTCCTTGTTCTTAACATTTTGCATTTTCAAGGGGATGTTTAGCAGAAGCAAATACTTATTAAAAAGGGGGGGAGGGGCGTCATCTCTAATTTTATATTTCAGAGAAAATATTTTTGCTGAATAACTAACTACCCAAATAAGTCAGTTAATTTGTTTTATTTAAAGTGAGTCAATAAATATTGATATATGCTTGTTCTATGAGAATTATGTGAAAACATTTTTTATAAGTCCAGAATTAAAATAAGTCTTAGCCAGGTACAGTGAGAGAGGTGACTGCCCCAGCGAAGCCATGGGAGTGGCATGTCAGCTGTGGAATGGGGACCATCCTATATAATAAGGAATATGCAACCTGACCATCATGCCGTAACACAAGATGGCTGCGCCCACAGCAGCGGCCAAGTTCCCATAAGGAGCCTTAACAATCAGCAGGAACCTAAGGCTTGACAGGGACCTCAAAGTGTGCCCCCTGCCGGACCCAAGCCGGGCTGACCTCAGGCTGCACACTCTGCCCTGGGCCAGGGGACCTGAGGCTGTGAACCCCACCCAGTGGAGCTTGACGAGGGTGGGGCCGGTGGGTCTGTATCTAGCCCAATGGGGGTGGGGCCAGCAGGGTCTGGGTCTTGCGCAATTTTGTGGGTGGGCAGGGACTTGACTCTGGCTCCTGTGGTGCGCCCCAGACTCTGACAGGAGGAAGATTTTCATATACATTTTACTAATTTTCTTTCATCTCTGACTCTTCTATTATAAAGAAAGGCCAAATAGCAATATTAAAACATTTCCTCTAATTCCCTTTTTAAAAATATATATATATTTTATTTATTTTTTACAGAGAGAAAGAGAGAGGGACAGAGAGTTAGAAACATTGATGAGAGAGAATCATCTCTTGCTGTCTCTTGCACACCCTGAACTGGGGATGTGCCCGCAACCAATCAATGTACATGCCCTTGACCGGAATTAAACCCAGGACCTTTCGGTCCGCAGGCCGACGCTCAGTCCACTGAGCCAAACCGGTTTCAGCTAATTCCTTTTTAATGTGAACAAATTTCATGCACTGGGTCACTAGTACGTTGTAACAGTCTAACCAGCTGTCCCCACTTGACAGCTTCAGCTACCTACAGATGCTATACTGTGCCTGCCTGATGCATTGTAGCCTTTGCACTATTTTCTCATATTTCTGGTAATGAAAAAAAGCCTCATTTGTTGTTTTAATTTTTGATGCCTGAGATTGAAGTATCTTTGCTCTACCACAAAGTGTAGTGCTGCTATTTGAATAATTAACAGTATTTCCTTAGTATTTGTAGGTTTGAAGGAAAACTGGGGGCGGGGGTGGGGGGTGGGGAGAGTCATTTCCAATCCCTGCCTTTAATAATGCCTTTGCCATATATGCCAAGGACACCTCACTTTTTAATAGATTTTTTACAGAAGGTAAGGGAGAGGTTAGAGAGAGTTAGAAACATCAGTGAGAGAGAAACATCCATCAGCTGCCTCTTGCATACACTCCACTTGGGGATTTGCCCGCAACCAAGGTATGTGCCCTTGACCAGAACCGAACCTGGGACCCTTCAGTCCGCAGGCCGACACTCTATCTACTGAGTCAAAACCTGGTTAGGGCAAGGACTCCTCATTTTCAAGTCCTAACTACACCAAATCAATGATTATTCTATTCTCTAAGGAAAAATAACAGAGAATAATGCTCTCATTTTGGTTTACTTTTAGTGAAATAGCTCAGTTAGTGCCTATGACGTCAAAAGTAATTGTAAGCATAGTTTCTGTTTTACTTCTAGTAGTTCAACCAGAGTTTTCTTTTTAAATTTTATTTTAATTAAATTATTATCTGTGTACATATCTTACCATTCCCCCCCTCAACCAGAGTTTTCTTCAGACAATTACCAATACCAGTTTCCTTAAATAACTCTCTAATAGCCAAGATATAAATAATATATATTTTTTAAAAATATATTTTATTGATTTTATACAGAGAGGAAGGGAGAGAGATAGAGAGTTAGAAACATCGATGAGAGAGTCATCGATCAGCTGCCTCTTGCACACCCCCCACCGGGGATATGCCCGCAACCAAGGTACATGCCCTTGACCGGAATCGAACCCGGGACCCTTCAGTCCCCAAGCCGACGCTCTATCCATTGAGCCAAACCGGTCCCGGCAAAATATATAAATATATATATATATATATATATATATATATATATATATATAAATAATATTTTTTAAATTTCTGAGAAGATCAAGGATTTTAACAGCAAGGAGGTACATCTAGGCTGGAGTCCCACAGCTTCGAGCCTCACACCTGAACCACCAGCTGGAAGGAGTATGACTCAGCAGCCAAACTCACCAACAGCCCTGGCTCTAATTTATGGGATCATCTTGGGAAAGTTACTTAACTTCAGATTAAACGGGCAGTAACTAGAATACAGCCTCACTGTAAATGTTCAATGAGATTAAAACACCAATAGCATCATCTGTGTAGTACAACATCAGGCAAACCTTATCGGAATATTGCGAGCGTTAAAATGCACACCAAGTACTTTGTCCACAACCTGGTGTGTTATAAGTGCTCAATAAATGGTAGCCATTACTAGGAAACATGGAGCTAAAATTTTTATAGTAATGTGACTTTAAGTTGTATTTTAGACAGAAGTACATTATACAAAGAATAACTGAAAACTGTGAAAACTGTATTATAAATGCTCTTATAAGCAAATAACTGCTTATGAAAGTAATACACTCTCACTATAGAGAATCTGCCAAATTCTGAAAAGTATAAGGAAACGGCTGAAACTGGTTTGGCTCAGTGGAAAGAGTGTCAGTCTGCGGACTGAAAGGTCCCAGGTTTGATTCCGGTCAAGGGCATGTACCGTGGTTGCGGGCACATCCCCAGTAGGGGGTGTGCAAGAGGCAGCTAATTGATGATTCTCATCGATGTTTCTAACTCTCTATCCCTCTCTCCTCCTCTCTGTAAAAAATCAATAAAATATATTAAAAAAAAAAAAGTATAAGGAAACGGAAAAAATCTTTCACAATCCCAACACCTATAGAAAACTATTCATATTTTAACATGTAAGTACAGTTTTATTCTATGCTTCTTGCCCCCTTTATTATATTTTCTAAATACATAAATCTGCCTTATACATCACAATTAGGTTCTAAGCTCAGTCTACCAAGTGAAAATTGCAGAAACTCAAAAATTTCCTTGAAAATCTCCTAAGCAGGCACCACACTGAATACCACCATGCTACCTTCTTCTGTAAGTCCCCGCCATGGGCTCCTCCAGGCCCAGAACAGATCCCAGTGTTTGGCTAAGCAGCAGGCGAAGCAGTTGGCTCACTCCGGAGTTACATTATAAAAAGTGACAGATCATTAAATATCAGAACTACAGTGACCCCAGCATGCCGTTCTGCCCAGTGAGGCTAAGGGAGAAGCGGGCTGCCTCCCACTGCCTGCTCACTCCAGAGGGAACTATCACGTGCTCGCTCAGGTGAGCTGTCTGAGCAAATAAAGCTGTCTATCTTGCTCTAGCTCTTTCTCTGATGAACAGAGTTGACTATAAAAGGGGAAAGCACAAATGCTGTGGCTCCTCTACAATCAATATACATTGTACATGGGTGGGCAAAAGTAGGTTTACAGTAGTTAGTACTAACAAAATATTTTATAATAAAAGCTTCATATGCAAATTGTTCCCTTGACCAGGAGTTCGAGCGCTTGCTGTAACGTGTGCTGACCACCAGGGGATGGCACGGAACATGATGGGCATCAGCAACACTGCACTGGCAGCGGGCAGCAGTGGAGGTGCTGTCAGCCCTGATGGGGCCCCAATGAGAGCAGGATCTTGGTGGGATGGTGGAGCAGGTGAGGGAGCAGTGCCAGACCAAGGTGGATTGCGGGGGGGGGGGGGGCTGTGAGGCTGTGGGTGCGAGCTGGGGCCCAATCTCCACAGGCCACTCTGAGGGATCCCACCAGTGCACAAATTTGTGCATCGGCCTCTAGTAATAAATAAAAATACAAGAATAAACTCTTGCGTTTTGTGTACACAACTGTAAACCTACTTTTGCCTACCTTGGCATCAAAAGTGCTCTAAATATATAAAATGACTGCATGATATATGGGATGAATACACACTAATTTTGTAATTTACTTCCCAGTATTGAGCAGTTGGGCTATTTGTAATTTTTTGCTATATGCTATATATCTGCTGCACATTTCATCCTTTTCCCTTTAGGATGAACTTCTAGGAATAGAATTACTGAAGAGGAGATGTGTGAAGTTCAGTTGTTAATGAACTACCCAGAAAAACTATCCCAACCTATATTCTCACAAGCAGTATACGTGATTCTCTCATCAGTTATAAATTTAATATGTGATAATGAATTCAACACTAATTTAACTTCATTTTATTATTAGTGAGGCTGAACTTTTCTTAAATCATGTTGACCATCTGTGTTGCCTTTTAACTATCCCTGCCGTTTGCCTTTTTTATCAGAGGCATTAAGTAAATTCACAATGTTGCACAACCACTGCCACTACTTCCAGAACTTTCTCATCACCCCAGGCACAAACTCTGTACCCATTAAACAATATTCCCACATTCCTTTCTCCGTTCAGCTCCTGGTAATTTCTATCCTGCTCTCTGTTTCTATGACTTTGCCTGTTCTTGGTACTTCATATAAGTGGAATCATACATTTGTCTTGTTGTGTCTGGCTTATTTCGCTTAGCATATCTTCCCAGTCCATACACAGGACAGCAGGAGTCATCATAAACAGAAGAAGCCTCCTGTCTCCATTAAACTGTAGGCTCTCCTGAAACTATGGATGGTTCCTCTGTGCCACTTGTCGTCGCTGCAGTTGTTCATGTCTTACTTCTGTTTCGCCCTCCCTGAGGCAGAGATTGGCCACCATATTCCAATGAATTGCTTCCCTATGCTCCACCAGGTGAGGTTGACACAGGTGAGAATAGAAGGCATTCCTAGTCAGGTGACCTTTTATGTGTGCTCCTCCATAGCAACCAACTCCTGATCCTATTGTAGCAATCACTACATTGCTGTAAGCTCGTTATTCATTCAATCAGAAGTATTTTGGCTTTAAGTTCACACAATGTGTCAGGCATTATGCTAAGATTAGCTCTTCTGCTAAAACGTTTCTTCATACCTCTGGATCAGACCCACCAGAGAACCTGATGATGACAGCCAAAGACTCTTTGAAAACAAAAACAAAAACAAACAACACACATAAAAACAACAACAAGACAAAATAAAAACCAATACATGCTTTGCAAAAGATTTTAGCAGGATTAATTTAAGCAGGATCCAGACCCTGCAGCCCAACTATGAACAAAGCACAGGGTCTGATGCTCTTCTACTTTAGCTTTGTTCCAAGCAAAGAACTTGGAATAAAATCCACAGAGGAATAAAATCAGTGTTTGTCAACTGGAACTGAATGAACCAATCAAGCCCATGAAGCTACCTAACCAATCGAGAGGCTAAAACTGTGGGCTGCCTGGGCTTAACTCCTGGTCGTGTTGTATTGTGACACGAGGAAGTCATTTCACCTCTCTACCTCAGTCTGATCGTAAGGAAAACGGGGCCACTACCTCCTGGGTGACTGTGAAGGTGAAAGGAGTTAATAACAAAAACCACAGAGCATTCAGTTGAAAACTCATTGAACAACCCAGTTTAAAGATGAGAAAACAGACGAGGTACCAGGAAAAGCAAGCTGTCCAAAGTTGCTCAGCGAATCAAGGGCAGACCTTGCATTCAGAGCCAACAGAGTCCAGCCCTTAGCCCTGTGCCCTACACATCCTAACGCTCTTGGCAAATGTTTGAACACAACGCGAGCTAATTCTCTGAAACTTCACGTTCCCTAGACATTGGAGGAGTGAAGTCCACTCCATCCTTTTTTATATAGGAGCCACTCTATAATAGGGAATCTCAACTAAATTCTACTTTTATAACGGGTACGAACTTCTGAGTTTCAAATAAGCCCTCCCACCTCCCACCCCTCCGGGTATAAAAGCAAGGAAAACCGAAGGCCCAAGGAAGAGAATCTTGGGGAGCGAGTGCGGCCTGCGCTTTTCCCGAGAAACTTCCGACCAGTGGCGCCCAGGCGTCCGCCCAGGCCCGGCAGGCGCGGCGGAGCGGCGGGCGGCCCCGGAACCCCCGCCTCACAGCCAAGGCCAGGCCGGGGCGACCGCCCCCCTGCCCCCGGGGCGGGGCAGGGCGGGGAGAAAGGGCGAGACTCACCTGAAGGCGTCCGCTCCCTGCAAGGCGCAGTGGGTCACGGCCCCGGCTCTGCCCTCCCTCCCGCTCCAGGCGAGGGTTACGGTGGCGGCCCGTAGTCTCTCCGCGGATTAGGAGCCAGGCCCCGGGCCTGGAGCTGTTTGTGAGTTTCCCTCAGAAGACTAGGTCACCTGTCTTCACCGGCAGCCAATCAGGACACGGGAGACCCGTGAGCCCGCGGAGCCACGCCCCCAGCGCAGCCAATCAGAGCGCAGCGCAGGCCACGTGACCCTCCGGATGCCCATTGCCGCCACAAGGCGGGGACAGGGGCGGGCGGCAGGGGGCGGGGTGGCGTGGGAATCACTTTTCCCGGGAACAGAGCTGGGTACGGGCAAATTACTGCCTCTGGCATTTTCACACCCTTTTCTTTCCAGCGATTTATAAAAGTTGGGAGTTTCAGTTATTTGGTCCCTTGAGGAATGTCACTAACCCATAAGGAAAAACGTAGAATTAATGCAGAAACCACTTGTGTATTTAAGCTGGAGTCATTCAGAATTCCCAAAATAATTCAATAGGCAAAGAATTAATTTACAAAAGCCCCAAATCTCTTTGGAACATATGGAGCCTTTCGACGACCCATAGTTCCAGCCCCCCACTCAGCAGTCAGAGGTGTCTGATTCATATTTTTTTTTCATTTTTTTTATTAAGGTATTATATGTGTACATATCTTACTATTGCCCCCCCCCCAATTTATCTTTCAAAACCTCTCTCCCACTCTCCCTCCAAACAAAAAAACCTCCCTCCTGCCATTGTCACCTAAGTACTTGCCTTTTCTGTTAACTGCCAAATAGTTTACATTCCAATGGCTACACTTGTGATGCCAATAAGTTAATTTCTCCTAAAACCAGACTTAATGTCTGTCTCATTTACTCTCATGTTTATCCATCCAATCAACAAATATTTATGGCGTGCCTAATTAAGTTTCAATCATGGGGAAGGCAAGGAGAAGATGCCAGTGGACAGGACAAAGGGAATATAGTACATTTCCTGTTCCAGGAGTTTACATTCTAGTGGAAGACAAAGACATTAACAACCAACAACATAAATGGCAACTCCAGTTAAATGTTTCCAAGGACAGCCCTGACCTTGCCTAGTTGTCCTCTGCTGGTGTGTGGGAGTTGGTAATCAGGAATGCTGTCAGATTTTCCTAGTGTTTCCATGGTGCACTGTGCACAGTTCTGACGGCTTTAACATAAAGCACTGCGATTCTTCTATGCTGCTCTCTCACCTTGTGGAGTCAACTCCCTGTGTGTACTGATGAATTTACTTTCCTATGAATAATGCTTGGCACATGGTAGGGACTCGGGGAAATTTGAACTAAATCTTTGAGACTAGCCTTAGTACCCGATTTGTGCTCAATAGGCTTTGCCGAGAGGGACTGATATTTGACTTTAATGCAAGAATCTTGACTCCTTGTTTTGAGATTGACTTTGATCTCCAGGATATTCTAGAATGAACTGTTTTTTGTATACCATAGGGTAGGTAGTGCTTGTCCTGTAACCCTTATATAAAAAAAATAAAACACCTTATTATTTGTGGTTTTATTGAACTCTTTTTCCTGATATACAGGGGCTTGGTATCCAGACTAATCAAAGTATCTCACATGTATTTAGGAAAAGGGAATCAGAGTAGGATACAGAAATGACAAAGAAGTTAAGGAATGTATACTCAGGCCTTAGAACTGTATGGTCAGGAGGGAGAGAGCAGAGATATTTATGGTGCTCACAGCTTGTACCAGGGCTCCAATAACTGTGTGAGGAATAATAATATGCATAACCTGTGAATTGTAATCAAAACTTGAAACTGACCAATTCAACTATGCCAACTGTATTAATGTTACCTAAAGCTTTTCCATCCTAAATATTTAAATTGTGCCTTTCTAGAACCATAATATCAGAAAAACAAGAAAACAAAAACCAACAAACTTTGGATGGAGAAATGGGAGAAAGCCCCTAGTATTATGTATATCCTATATAATAAAAGAATTATATGCAAATTGACCCTAAGGCGGAACAACCAGCAACAACTGGTTGCTATGACATGCACTGAGCACCAGGGGGAAGATGCTCAATGCAGGAGAAACTCCACTCAGCCACAAACTGGGCTGATGGCTGTAAATGAAACAGCAGTGGCGGGAGCCTCCCCCACCTTATCCACAGCACTAAGGATGTCCAACTGAAGGATTATGTCTGATCTCCCAGGGAGCTGGTCTAAGCTGTCAGTCAGACATCCCCCAAGAATTCCAAGGTTGCCAGGAGGATATCTGACTGCCAGCTTAGGTCCAATTCCCTGGGGAGCGGGCCTACACTGGCAGGTGGACATCCTAGAGGCCTCCCAGTCTGTAAGAGGGCGCAGGCCAGGCTGAGGGATACCTCCTAAACCCCCCCGCCCCCGTGCACAACTTTTCATGCACCAGGCCTCTAGTTATCTATTATATAAGAAAATCACAAACATGTTTGAAATTGTGGAAAAATCCTGAAGTTTCTAGGATGTAAGAGATGCATTAAAGCCGAAGCCGGTTTGGCTCAGTGGTAGAGCGTCGGTCTGCAGACTGAAAGGTCCCAGATTCGATTCCGGTCAGGGGCATGTACATTGGTTGCGGGAACATTCCCAGTAGGGGGTGTGCAAGAGGCAACTGGTCGATGTTTCTTTCTCATTGACGTTTCTATCTCTCTCTCTCTCTCCCTTCCTCTCTGTAAAAAAATCAATAAAATATATATTTAAAAAAAAGAGAGAGATGCATTAAAAAATGATACTGTCACCAGTCTTTTATATCCTAAATTTATTAAGTGAATGTGAAAAATATAAGGATCTTGCATTGGTTCATTCAAAAGCTTAGTTCTCTCAACTCAATTTTTCCAGGTTGCCAGCATAGTTTTTTGGTAGTAAGAATTCAAGAAGTATTTGCTGAATGAGTAAAAGGTCTTGAATCCCTCAGCCACCATGGGTAGGGTTTTTAGAACACTAACCCTTTTAGTGAGGGGAGAACACTGTATTCAAACATAGTGCGCCTGCTCAGTTGAAGCACATTGATTGATACCTCTCTTTCCCTTTCAGTCATTTTTGTTAAGTCATAATTTAGACCAAACTAAAAAAGCTTTAAAAAAAACCCCCACCAAACCCTAAAAAATAAAAAATAAAATCCTCAACATTAGTGGCTTTGTTGAAATAGTGTTCTTTTATTCCCCTGGATGGTGATTGCAAATCCCAGGCCTATTAATTTTTTCAGTTCTATATAGTGCAATCAGGTCCAAAGAGGATGATGTGAAGTATGAGTATTATGAGAATCAATTAAAATATTACTCCTTTTTTAAAAAAAAATATTTTATTGATTTTTTACAGAGAGGAAGGGAGAGAGATAGAGCTAGAAACATCAATGAGAGAGAAACAACGACCAGCTGCCTCTTGCACACCCCCTATCGGGGATATGCCCGCAACCAATGTACATGCCCTTGACCAGAATCGAACCTGGGACCTTTCAGTCCGCAGACCGACATTCTACCACTGAGCCAAACCGATTTCGGCATATTACTCCTTCTTAACAATGGTGACATTTTTTTTTCTTCTCTTTTCAGTAACAAAATTTATTGATCAGTATTAGTTCATTATTTAGGATACTGTTAAAAAATGAATATCTTGTAAAATGTAATATTGTTTCTGGACTTTTGACTCAAATTTATCCTCAGTTACCTTTAAATATAATTATCACAATAAATATCTATCATTACTAAAGAAAACAAAAAGCTACTTGGTAAGAATTAGCCTACCAGAAATAGGAAAAGGATAATAATAATAATCATCATCATCATCATCATCATCATCATCTAGCCCTAACTGGTTTGGCTCAATGGATAAGGCCTGCGGACTGAAAGGTCCCAGGTTCAATTCCAGTCAAGGGCATGTACCTTGGTTGCAGGCACATCCCCAGTAGGAGGTGTGCAAGAGGCAGCTGATTGATGTTTCTCTCCCATCAATGTTTCAAACTCTCTATCCTTCTCCCTTCCTGTTAAAAAAAAAAAATCAATAAAACATATATTTAAAAAAATAATAATCTACACTAATAAAAAATATGTAAAGTGACCTTACCTTCACAATGCCCACCAGCCAATCAGGAGTGGATATGCAAATTAACCCACCAAAGATGACAGATTAATTTGCATACACAGGTACTGAGTGGCCAGGGGCATTCTGCACCATCCCAGCTGCTCCAGGCCTCTGCGCAGCATGAGAAAGCAGAAAGACGACTTGGCAGGAGCAAAGGCAGTGCTGGGAGCCAGGGGAAGGAAGGCCCATTTTTGCCCAATTCTTCATTCATCAGGCCTCTAATAATAATAATAATAATAATAATAATTATAGTAATAATAATGATAGTGGCAGCTGACCAGAGCTGCAGCATACACTGACACAGACCATGCACTGCATAGTCCAGTGAGCTATGCAGCATGGCAGCCCAGGAGCTAACATTTATCTAGTTACTAGAGATCCAGTGAATGAAGATACATGCAAGAATGGGCCTTCCTTCCCTTGGCAGCCAGTACCACCTTGGCTCCAGCGGGAGCTGCCTTTTTGCTCTGGCCCAGAGCTGTATTCCCGCCTTCCCATGCTGCCCAGAGGCCTGGAGTGGCTGGGGCGGTGTGGAACACCTCAGCCCCGGCCCTTTGGCATCTATTGTACATATGCAAATCAACCCACAATCTTTGTTGGGTTAATTTGCATACTCACTCCTGATTGGCTGGTGGGCATAGTGAAGGTATAGTCAATTTGCATCTTATTCTTTTATTAGTGTAGATCTTACCATATGCCAGGTACTGTCATGAGCATTTCATACTCAGTATGAAGCAGATACTCTCATTCCCATTTTATAGACAAAAAATGGCACAGAAAATTAATAATTTGCCCAAGATCTCAAAGCTAATGAGTGTCAGAGCCAGGCATTTGAATCCAGAGCCTACACTCTTTTATTTTAAAGTATTACAAATAGTAGTATATATGTCTCCTTTTTTCCCCCCCAGTGACCTTCCCCTGGCTTCCCCTACCCCCCAGCACATGCCCTCACCCCCCACCTCCCAACCTCTAGTGTTTTGCGTCCATTGGTTATGCTTATGTCAGAGCTTACATTCTTAATATATTATCCCATACTAATTCACAGTTACAATCTCCATTACTTGAAGAAAAAAAAAAATCTCTTTGGTTTTACATCTTTCTTGCAGGTAACTATATTTTTTTAAGTGTTAAAGTATTTGGAAGATAATATTCTTATTTGGAATAATTTTGAAAAATCCTATTTTACTATTGAATAAATACATGGGTGGGCAAAAGTAGATTTACAGTTCATATGGAAAAGAAACAATCTATATACATAAAAGCCTAAGTGATTGAATGACCTGCTGACTGGTTGCTATGATGCACGCTGACTACCAGGGGACAGATGTTCAATGCACACGATGGGCTCCCTCCTGTCTGGATTGGGCCTGCGGGGATCAGGTCTGTGGGGATCAGGCTTGCAGGGATCAGGCCTGCAGGGATTGGGCAGAAACTAGCTATCCGACATCCCCAAGGGGTCCTGGATTGCGAGAGAGCACAGGGCAGGCCGAGGGGCCCTGCCTGTGCATGAATCCATGCACTGGCCTCTAGTTAATAATAATACGAGAATAAACTCAGTGTTTCATATATTCATAACTATAAATCTATTTTTGCCCACTGTGTATGTTGGCTATTCCTTCATTCAGAATGGTGACATGTAGTTTATAGAGTATCTTTAATTTGTAATCACATCTCACAAACCAATGTTCTCCCCTTTCTCAAAACAAACAAAAAGTAAAAATTAAGAAAAATAACCAAATACACAAGATTCCATATATGCATATACTTTAATAACAAAGGTCACTGTAACTGTAAATGAACAAACAAAGGGAGACAGAGAACTTAACACATGATTATTGCATGAGTTTGGTCAAACAGGCATACATGAAGCTTTAACATACAGAAAACATATACTGTCTGTTAACAGAAGCTATAAACTACCAATTTTGATTACATACGTTTCCTAAAACATTATTATCAAAGAGTGCAAAGTTAGAGCAAACAATGTCAAAAAAATTTTAACAAAGTCTTTTAAGAAAGTCTAAAAACCTCCTATTGTCCCACATTGACAATCAAAACTTTGATATTTTTTATTATCAGAATATCCGTTTGCCACTTTAACTTTTACCATACATGAAAAATTATCAAAAATATATTGATGGGTCTATACTAATTGTGATATTTATATTTATATTAAGCAAAGTCTTTTACCAAGTTCTTTATATACAAATTACCATGTGTCCTATGTGAAATTCATTGAAAAGTTAAAAACCACAGAAATATAATTAGAAATAACTGCTTTCCATCAACAAAGAACATTTTAATATAATTCAACTGAAAAAGTATTGAACTCCCCACCAATTTCAGCTGGAACAGTATTCCTCCTGAATGTTTTCTGTGATTTAAGGGGAGAGAAAAAAAAAAAAAAAAAGAAAGAAAATGAAAATTAGGTAAAGCTTAATTGCAAGGAATTAAATGACAAAAATTTTATGAGTATTTACTGATCTTATTTTTAAGAAATTTACAGTCTAAGTTGGCAATAAAAAACAGTGGTAATTTAAAAAATATAGTTTAAGATAACTGAAGAAACAAATGTCTTCAAAAACTGTCAAACACACTACAAATACTTTCAGCTTGGCTGCTGTGAGTCAGTGGCTGAGTGACAACTTATGAACCAGGAGGTTACAGTTCGATTCCTGGTCAGGGCACATGCCCGGGGTTGTGGGCTCAATCCTTAGTGGGGGCATGCAGGAGGCAGCTGCTCAATGATTTTCTCTTATCATTGATGCTTCTCTCTCTCTCTTCATCTCTTTTCCTCTCTGAAATTAAAAAATATGTATTTAAAAGATATTTTTCATATAGATTTAAATCACAAAATAGTATATCACAGATATACTGAATACAGGCATGGCATTTTGATACTTCCAAAAAGGGCCATCATTAAAAAAAACACAAAAAAACTTTAAACTATTTCCAAACTGGAAAGAATTTAGATTTTAAAAGTATCACAACAGGTAAAATAAATTTATAAAAACTTGAGAGGCAAAGGTTTGGAGAAAAATTCATAAAGGGTTTATATTAATACCACTAAAATTAAAAAGTCACTTTAACTCTTTTAGATTTGTCACACAGGAAGGAAATGAGTAAGATGACTTTGAGAAAAAACAAGCAAACTTGAGCACAAATTTATAAGCTTTTCACATTAAAATGTAATTGACTGAGATGACCAGAAAACTGAGTACAGCACTTTGTTCAGTACAGATACATTTCTCTTGTCTAAGAACTAATTGATTTTGTAACAATCACTGAAAAATTTATGCCTCTCTAGTCTGAAAATAGCTCCATTTTGGAAATTATATTAATATATATTGATTCACAGTCCACTAAAGCAAGAAATAAGGCTATAGAATATTTACCTAATTAGTGCTCTGTCGCTGGATTTTATGACCAATACTCTGTGTGTCTTCCTCCTGACTAGGACGTTTCCCACTGCTGAGACTAGTGCCCATGGAGCTTCTTCCTACATTTTAAAAATGTATATTTAAGATAGGAAAGGTGACGAGACACAACAGTATGCTCAAATGCTTTCTTCTTCTTCTTCTTTTTTTTTTAAAATCCTCATCTAAGTACAATTTCCATTGATTTTAGAGAGAAAGGGAGAGAGAAAATCATTGATCTACTTTCTCCCATACCTCCCATATGTGCCACGAGGGATCAAACCCACAACCTAGTTGTGTGCCTTGATGAGGAATCAAACCTGAAACCTTTTTGGTTGACGCTCAACCAGCTAAGCCAACTGGCTGGGCTCAAACACTTTATTCTTACCTTGCTTGAATATGTGAGTTTGCTGACTGTCTCCAAGAGCATAATGTAAAATACCACTCCCTTGAGTATAACCTGTTAGTATTTAAAACACAGTAAAATTACATAAATTCTAAGTAGTATATATTAAGACTACAAATTAATTAGCTTCATGCTATTTTTTGTTAGAACATCTGAAAACTGACATAATTATTCAAACTGCAAATATATACTGACTTCTTAACATTATTATTACACAAATTAAGAACATATGTGGCACCCTGCTGGGTGGTTAAATGGGTTGGAGCGTCATCCCAAACACCAAAAGATTGCAGGTTCAATTTCTGGTGAGGGCACATACCAGATTTTAGGTTTGATGCTCAGTCAGGGTGTGTACGGGAGGCAACCAGTCAATATTTCCCGCACGCATTGATATTTCTCTCTCTCTCTCCCCCTCCCTTTCTCTCTCTGTCTCTCTCTTTCTTTCCTTCTATTTCTTCCTCTCCCTCTCTCACTCCCCACCTTTCCTCTTTCTCTAAAATAAACAAACATGATCTCAGGTGAGGATTAAAAATATATATGTGTGGCAACTAAACATATATCATACAGAAAACCATTAAAATTAGACTTTGTAAGGAAAAACTCATGTGCAAAGGACTAGAGGTCTATGATAAATTTTTTGGCCATGTTCACACGGCCACTGACCTAATACTTATTACTTTATAGCTGATATATACCTAGAGAGAGTAAAAAGTAATGAGTATTCTGAAAATACGATATTTGAGTTTTATTTTATCCTTAAAATCACTCTCCTTGTTCAGTTTGCAAGATCTTTACCTTGACTTAAATTCCACTACATACAATGATGCTTTCTATCTAAAATGTCACTAAAATGCAGTTAGCGTGTGTTGTATGTATATGTGTACACATGTATGCACATGTACAAAGAATTATTACATACATTCTAAAGAGAGATTTTTAAAAACAGTGAGGTTTAATAAACAATATATTTGATTATTAATCTCTTGGTATTAAACATAGAAATTTCCTTTTCACTTACTTCCACTGCTGCTACAACCTGGGATATTTTCTCCAGCAGAATACCCCATGAGGCCTCCATTCCCATTAGGATTAGAAGGCACTGATGCAAGAAGACCTAAAGGGAAAAAATATTCTATTAAATTATGATCAAGAAAAAAGCAAGGGTAGCTGCCAAAGAAGCAAACCAAAGGCAGTTACTGACATACCTAGTCCTCTATATCGTGAAAGCTGCTGATAGATCTGTTTCATCCTCTCAATATTCAAACGGCTTGCCTCAGCATGGTTCACCATTGGTTTAGGATAATTAACTCCTATCAAACATTTGGCTACCTTTTGGATACCTTCTGGTGCATTCCAGGGATCATAGATATATTTTGCAGGGAAGCCTCTTAAGACAGGCAAATATCGCCTTTTGGGAAAAGGGAGAGAAATTATTAATAAAATGAACTATAAGCAAATTATAACAAACTATTTATTAGCTATGAATGACCAAGATCAAATCAGTATCATTTAAATGATTTGTTAACCCTTCTCCTCATCTCTGCTGACTATCATGAGGAGTATACTTAAAGTGTTAAACATTAAAAGCTCCTCCTGGATTAGTTACTCCAAACTAATAACAATCACCCTTAATTTACCTGATATAGTCTCCATTGGGATCTGTTCTCCTACCAAAACCAACAGGGCAATAGCAGTGAAAAAACTGTTGAAAAAAGGAACTACAAGACAGCCACATCCAACTTCCAGCATTTATGCTCCAATCTGCATCAAGCAGTAATTCTTCAAATACCTTCAAAGTAATAGTGACCAATTAGTTTGCACATACATAATTCTCAAAGCAAGCATTTTCCAGGTCTCTGTAGATCAAAAGTCAAGGCAAAGAAAATCTAGCACAGACTATAAAATTAAACATTCCAAAGTTAGCTTCATCATTTCTGTTTTGTTCTATGAATTATTTCAGGAAAAGAAATATATCAGTAACATAAGTGGATTTCTAAATGGAATTTACCTTTCTCCCTTCTCTCAAAAGGCAGTATTATGTGGGAGGAGGGTAAAAATTATTCAAGTCACTGATTTAAAAGGAATATGAGATTAAAAAATGAAAAACATAAAAGCAAAAAACACTTTCAAAAAAGCAAAAATGCTAACAAATAAATCACCAACAGAAACGTAGAAGTTTGCTAAACCTAAAGAGAGCATCCAAATTAAATGACTTTGGGAAATGCAAAGTTTACGTTTGGAATATCAGTTATTTATTTACTTATTTATTTTTAAAATCTTTATTGTTAAAATAAGTTTGGAATTTCTTGATCCAAGAGGAAAACAGAAGTAAAATAAACTATTTTTAATAAATTCATGAAGTATGTGTTACACATCTTCCTCATGTAAATTCTGTACTAGGAAATATAACAGATGTAAAAACAAACAACAGGGCCGAAACAGGTTTGGCTCAGGCCTGCAGACTGAAAGGTCCCAGGTTCGATTCCAATCAAGCACATGCACCTTGGTTGCGGGCGCATACCCAGTAGAAGGTATGCAGGAGGCAGCTGATCAATGATTCGCATCGATGTTTCTAACTCTCCATCCCTCTCTCTTCCTCTCTGTAAAACATCAATAAAATATATTTAAAAAACAAACAAAAACAAACAAACAAACAACAGGATCAGAACTGGTCTTGGAGAGGGGAAATTTATGATATAACTAGGAAAGTAAAAAATATAAGTACTGTTATGTATAACCAATATGATGCTATAAAATAAACTATGCTTCACTTTACGTAATGAAAGTACTACCAAAAAGTTGTGAAGCTGAAGTGAAGTGAAAGGATATATATTTTTAAATGTATGCTATGAATTCACTATTTATAAAAACTCTTGGGTGAATCTTTTCTGTGACAGAAATGATTACCTGTAAGTATATCAATGCAATTAAGTCCAGAGCATTAAATCTTATATATCCCTTGATGGCTAGGCTGGTTTAGCCACAGAAGTGACTTGAAATGAACTGAACCAGTTTTTGCCATATCTATTATCTGATTATACCATACTGGTCCCCGAAAGTGTGATTGTATTGCAGGAATTCAATTCTTTGACCAGTGAAAAACTAAACTATAAATGAATAAACACAATAGACAACTTCTAGGAAATGTCTTAGTATAGTACACAGTCCTTCAAAATAAGACACGCTACATTGGTTCGTACACTTACCTTCATTCCTTCTTCCCAACTAATCCATAGGTCACCTCGTGTAACGAAGCAAGCAACTGCGTGTCTGGCCAAATGGTGAATCCAACCCTCCTGACGAAGCTGTGTCATGATGGCATCAATCCATGGAAAACCTGTCCGGCCTTCTGCCCATTTTGCTAAAGCCTCAGGATTCTTATCCCAAGGAATCTGAACACAGATGGGGTTTCCTTCCATTTTATCAAAGCGTGGATTATTTGTGGCTGCTGTATAGAAAAATTCACGCCATAACAATTGCCCATAAAGGGAAAGGGGAGGGGAACTGTTCTTCTTTACCTAAGATTAAAAAGCAAAAAAGTATTAAAAGCAATTTTTAAAGAAGCATCTTCAAAAATAAAGTAAAATAAAATAATGCAATTTTAATTAATACCTTTTTGTAGAGATCTGTTAGTTTGAAGTAAAATAGTCGACATGATAAACAACCAAATCGGAGGTAAGGACTGAGTCCAGTAGGGCTAGCAAGCAAGGAATTGGCATTCATTCGAGGTCTTTCAAAGTTAGCTACCCATGCCTGAAAACACATAGAGAATTACCTTAACTTTTTCAACTTTAAAGGAATGTTTAAGATTTAGATTTCTAAAAACTGTTACATAGTTCTTAGGGGGTAAAGTCTTATTATTTCAGCCACAATGACATGTTTTAATAGAAAACAAGGATAAAAGTGAGAATTCTGGGGAGGAACCAAGATGGCAGCAGAGGTAAACACCTGTACTTGCTGCCTCGCACAACCACATCATAACTACAAGTAAAAGACAAAATGGATATCCAGAACCATGGGAAAACTGGCTGAGTGGAAGTTCTACAACCAGAATAAAATAAAAAAGTGCACAGACACGAGGTGCACACGAACTGGACTGATAACTGGGTGCGCTGTTTTTTTTAATCAGGAGGGAAATACAAACCCCAATTGCTCTGAACTTCAGTTCCAGACAAGAACCTGGTGACACAGACTCATACAGGGAGAAAATGGACTGGCATTGAACTGGAATGCAAGCACAGAGGTGCTTGCAGCGATCATTGTTCCTGCATGGTGCCGTGGGACCAGAGACCAGGGGCCTCTTTGGGGTAGGGCTGACGAGCAGCCATTGCTGTTTGCTCTGCCCTGGTGATTTCCTGAGACACCACTCCACCCAATTTACAACCCCATCCAAGCTATGCGCAGAGGCTTTTGTGTATGAATGACCCAGCCTTTTGCAGCCTAGAACCTAACAAACTGCACTTGGGTCAGAGAGCTCCAAAGCTTCTAAAAGAAGGCCCAAGCAGCAGCCAGCAGCCAGCAGCCAGCCTTGCTTCATAGCTGGGCCTCATCTGGGCACTTCCAAACCCCAAACAAAGAGGAGGAATGTGCACATTTCTCTGTAGCTTCTGCTGGGTGGCTTCAGGCAGTGGCTGACTTTGCACCTCCTTGGAGATCCAAGAGTCAGTGTACCCAGTGGTCAGTGTGAGACCATACTAGATTACAATTCTTCACATCCATAAGTGACACACTCAAGGGGCAGACTCCGTGAGCACCAAAGCCCCGCTGAAGCAAGTATTGCCCAATAAGGGTGTCTCTAGCACAGCAGTTCTTCCATTGTAGACACAGCTAGTCCTCACAGCCAGTTGACCTGGAGGTCAATTCCTTCCACTGATATCAACAGCAATCAAGGCTTAACTACAACAAGACTGTACGCACAGCCCACAGAGGGATGCACCCAGAGTGTTCACCTCAGGTGATTGGGGAGGCTGAGCCACTGGGCCCTATAGGACATCTAGTATACTCAAGGCCACTCTATCAACACAGGGAAGCAGCCAAAATCCAGAGGGGAAAAAACAAACGTGTCATAAATGAAAGAAATGGAGGAAAGCAAACTACTGGTATAGAGTTCAAAACCACGGTTATAAGATTACTCAAGAATCTTTTAAAAACCACTGAGAAATTTAGTGAGACACTCAAGGATATGAAAAAGGATCAATTAGAAATTAAGCATACACTGACTGAAATAAATAATATATAGAGACCCTCAGCAGACTAGAGGATCCCAAGAATCAAGTCAAATATTTGAAATACAAAGAAGAAAAAACCCAACCGTAAGAGAAAAAGAAAAAAGAATCCAAAAATATGAAGATAGTGTAAGGAGCCTCTGGGATAACTTCAAGCATCCTAACATCCGAATTATGGGGGTGCCAAGAAGAGAGAGAGCAAGATATTGAAAACATATTTGAAGAAATAATGTCAAAAAACTTCCTGCACCTGGTGAAAGAAATAGACTTACAAGTCAAGGAAGCGCAGAGAACCCCAAACAAGAGGAATCCAAAGAGGACCAGACCAAGACACATCATAATTAAAATGCCAAGGGCAAAAGAGAAAGAGAGAATATTAAAAGCAGCAAGAGAAAACCGGTTAGTTACCTACAAGGGAATATCCATACAAATGTCAGCTGATTTCTCAACAGAAACTATGCAGGTCAGAAGGGAATGGCAAGAAATATTCAAAGTGATGAATAGCAAGAACCTACAACCAAGATTACTCTACCCAGCAAAGTTATCATTTAGAATTCAAGGTCAGATAAAGAGCTTCACAGATAAAAGCTAAAGAAGTTTGTCACCACCAAATCAGTATTATATTAAACTAGAGGCCCAGTGCAAGAAATTTGTGGATGGTGGAGGGTCACTTAGCCCAGTCTGCACCCTCTCCAATCTGGGATCCCTCTCACAATCCAGGACTGCTGGCTCCCAACTGCTTGCCTGCCTGCATTCCTGATTTCCCCTAAATGCTTCTGCCTGTCAGCCTGATCACCCCCTAACCACTCCCCTGTCAACCTGATTGATATCTAAATCTCCTGCCAGCCTGTTTGCCCCCAACTTCCCTCCTCTGCCAGCCTGGTTACCCCTAACTGCCTTCTCCTGCAGACTTGATCACCCCCAACTGCCCTTCCTTGCAGGCTTGATAGTCCCCAACTGCCCTCCCTTACAGGTTTGTTCCCTCCCAACTGCCCTTCCCTGCTGGCCATCTTGTGTCCACATGGGGGCAGCCATCTTGTGTGTTGGAGTGATGGTCAACTGCATGTACTCTTTTATTAGATAGGATAGAGGCCAGATACATGGGTGGGGGCCAGCTCGTTTGCTCTGAAGGGCATCCTGGATCAGGGTGGGGCTTCTCTTGGGACATGGGGCGGCCTGGGTGAGGGGCCTGTGGTAGTTTGCAGGCTGGGCACACCCCTCAGCAACCCAAGCAGAGGCCTTGGTATCAGAGATTTATCTATCTTCTACAATTGAAACTTTGTAGCCTGGAATGGATCCAAGCCTTCTGCTCACTCTATGGCAGCAGTCATTTTTGTTGGGATTTATTTATCTTCTATAATTGAAACTTTGTAGCCTTATGTGGAGGCCTGGGCCAGCCAGGGTGTACGGAAAGCTTGACTTCCTTCATTGCCAGGGAAACCCAAGCCTCCCTCCTAATCTCTCTGTGGCTGTACCCATCTTGGTTGGGTTAATTTATATACTTGCTCCTGACTGGCTTGTGGACGTGGCTTGTGGGTTTAGTGGAGTGATGATTAATTTGCATATTACTCTTTTATTAGATGGATGCTGAGAAGAAGAAAAAGGAAAAGATAAAATTATGACAATAAATACATATCTATTAACAAGTAAATCTAAAAATCAAGTGAATAAAAAATCTGATGAACACAATAAACTGGTGAATAATAGAATTAGGGGCATAGAAAGTGGACTGAGAATTCTCGGGAGGAAGGGGGTGTGGAGGGTGCGAGAAGAGATTGGACAAAAATCTTAGACCTATGGACAAAGACAGTGGGGGAGTTAAGGGCAGGGGTGGTGTTGGGAAATGGGTGGGAGTTATGGGGGGGGGGGGGGAGATGAATAACTGTAATAATCTGAATATTTATTTTTTTTAAAAAGTGAGCATTTTTTTTTTAACCATCCCATGTAGCACATACTCATCCTATATAATAGAGGTAATATGCAAATTGAACCTTGTGCCCTCGCATCACAAGATGGCCAGCCCTATGTTGTCACAAATGAGTGCCCCTGAGTCATCACAAGATGGCTGCCACAAGATGAGTGCCCCCACATTATCACAAGATGGCTGCCCCCACATTGTTACAAGATGGTCGGTAAGGGAGGGCAAAGGGGGGGGTAGGCCTGCAGGGGAGGCAGTTAATGGTAATTGGGCCAGCAGGGGAGCAGTTAGGTGTCAACCAGGCAGGCAAGGAGGGGTTGGGGGCTATCAGGCTGGCAGGCAGAAGGGGTTAGGTGTAATCAGGCAGGCGAGTGGTTAGGAGTCAGCAGTCCCGGGTTGTGAGAGGTATGTCCAACTGCCATTTTAGGCCGGATCCCATGCAGGGATCAGGCCTAAACCAGCAGTCGGAAATCCCCTGAGGGGTCCCAGATTGGAGCGGGTGCAGGTTGGGCTGAGAGACACCCCCCGCCCTGCATGAATTTCGTGCACTGGGCCTCTAGTGTGATATAAATTACCTCCAAATTCCTAACACAACATTGAGAGCTCCTTTCACCTGTCTCTTTGACACTGCAGTAAAGGTGAAATAAAAGAACTCTACCCGAGCTTCAAAGTTATGGTCATCAGATACCAACTTACACAAAAAAGAATAGAAGTGGTGGTGTTGGTAAAAGCTAAAGAGGAAATAATCAGAAGAGGAGGAAAAAGTATTTAAATAAAGAGATAGAAGGTCATTTTCAAACAATTAAGTTTATGCTATTTTTTTTTCCAAGGAAAACTGGGTGAAAGAGATGGCTGCCGTTTTTAAAAAAAATATTTTTATTCATTTCAGAGAAGGGAGAAGGAGATATATAGAAACATCAATGATCAGAGAGAATAATTGAGCAGTTGCCTCCTGCACACAACACACGGTACTGAGCCTGCAACCCGGGCATGTGCCCTGACTGGGAATTGAACCATGTCCTCATGTTTCATAAGTGGATGCTCAACCACTGAGCTATACCAGCCAGCCAGTTTATGCTATTTTAAGTATTTCTCTCTATCCTTTATAACCAGTCTATTTTTTGTGGTTTTTTTAAAAAGCAAAATTATTTTTACAATGCCAGTTTGGAAATATGTGCATGATCTATATATTATTATACTTTTCTTTCCAAATGTCTTTCCAAACGTGTAAGTGCTTCAGTTTCTCCACCTGGCCAAACTGCAGAGGGTAAGCCATCTGTATCAAAACCTAAAAAAAATAAAATAAAAAGATAAATAATAATAATAATTCTGGAACATAAATATTATACTTTTTATTTCACCCCAATAATTGCAAGGAAAAATAATTGAAGAAAAATTATGACAATAGAATAAAAATGAACTGATGACCCTGGATAGATCCTCACATATAACAATAATGTTTTCTATTCTTTAAAATGTGTATTTTAAGTTGATAACAGATCACATACTTTATTTTTATTTTAAAAAATATATTTATTAATTATAGAGAGAGAGTAAAGGAGAGGAAGGAAGAGAAACATTGATGTGAGAGTGGAACATTAATTAGCTGCCTCTCACATGTCTCTGGTAGGGGACCAGTCCATAACACAGGCATGTGCCCTGACTGGGAATCAAACCGTCAACCTTTCTGTGCATGGGGCAACACTCAACCAACTGAGTCAGACCAACCACAGTGATCACATATTTTAGAACACAAATAATACACAGATTTATCACATCTTAGTTTTGGTTTCTTTTACTTTTTCTCCTATCTCTTTTAATGCAAAATGCATGTCAAATCAGAAATGAGTTTTCTGTGTGATTTATTAGCTCTTAAGTTTCAATTTTTACCATTTATACCCACCTAGTTCTTCCAGTGAAGGGACTCCATATTTCTCATCATGGTCATCAGACAAAGGAGTTGTGCACTTTTCTATCGCTTCCAAAGTAATTGTCTCTACTGGTATTTCTAGTGGTTCCATTTTGCTGATGAGAGTTTGGAATCTTTTATAAGTAAGAGGCGGTTGTCCACCATTAAGTTCTATGATCCTATTACAAAAGTTAGTAAAACCTAGTTAGTATAAAAAAAAAGACAATATATTTAAGCTCTGAAAAGGCTTAAAACCAGAAAATAAATAAAATTACTTAACTTATAGAATGACCAGGAAACTTGTTAAAAATGGTAAAGAATAAAAAAACAATTTCCTTCATTTTCTAGACACCTACTAGATGTCAAAAATATATAGCATGAAAATACCAAAACCTTTAAGACAAAAGATATTAAGCACCTATGAGTGAAAAAACAAGTGGCCAAATAACAATAACATATTAAAAGCAATAACATAAAAATGTAAAAACATATAACTTAGTTCAAAGAAGAAATATAAAGACATTATAACTCAACTCAAAGAATCTATTAATTAATCAATAAAAACTAAACCAGGCCAATATTATATCAAGGAGCAAACAAAGTATCATTAATTAGGATTCTCTATTACTATAGTGATAATTACTTGCTATTTTCTATTTGCTCATGCTTTTGTTAAAAATATCAGCATACTGCAGAAACCGGTTTGGTTCAGTGGATAGAGCGTCGGCCTGTGGACTGAAAGGTCCCGGGTTCGATTCCGGTCAAGGGCATGTACCTTGGTTGCGGGCACATCCCCAGTAGGGGGTGTGCAAGAGGCAGCTAATGTATGATTCTCTCTCATCGATGTTTCTAACTCTCTATCCCTCTCCCTTCCTCTCTGAAAAATCAATAAAATATATATATTTAAAAAAATATATCAGCATACTTACTTGTCTAGGTCATATAATGTATGTGAAATTTGTACAATCACTTCTACTCCAGCTTCAGTAGCCAGTTTCTTAATAGCTGCATCTCGTTCCTTTCCAAAGGGCTCAGAATCATACTCAATTGAAAGTTTAGTAATGTTCCATTCCTAAAATAAGATGAAGGGGCAAAATGTACACAAATTTTAAGAATGAAGACTGAAAATTAAATTCGTAATTTGCATATCAAATGATTATACATACATCAATCTTTAATTGGCTAGGGCTTGAAATACATCAGAGAAAAAAGTTATCCAACATATATGTATGTAAATATGTGTATATAAAAATGCTCTGACCCCATTCTCAAGTCTACTCAACAGAAATGGAATGAACAAATGCTATAGAGAGGAGAAAATGCATGCTAAAAAAGACAGCAATACTGAAACTATTGTCACCACCCAATAAATTAAAGGTACTGTTATCAGGTCTCAACTATTTTTACCACTAATATGGGAAATAGGATTACTTACCTATTAAAAAATCTCACTATTTTCTGTATTAAAATAATAAAACCAGAGGTACCCTGGCCAGGTGGCTCAGTTGGTTGAAGCATCTGCTACACCAAAAGGTTGTGGGTTCAATTCCCAGTCAGAGCACATACCTAGTTTGTGGGTTTGATCCTCAGTCGGGAAGCATGTGGGAGACAACCAATCAATGTTTTTTTCTCTCTCTCTCCACCCCCTCACCCTTTCTTCTTTCTCTAAAAAATAATAAAAATTAAAAAAAAAAAATTTTTTTTTTAAACCCAGAAGCAATAATGTAAATGAGTCTGCTAGTCATAGACACAGTATTTTTTCCCTCAGAGAAACTAAGAGTGTGATTAGAGTAGGGAAGGAAATCTACTTTTTATTTTATAACTGTTTAGACTTTCGTTTTTCCAAACACATGCATGTAGTAACCTCTAAACGACACTTTAGAAAACACACATCAATACAGTAAAAAAAAATAAATTTAATTCCCTCTATGTCTTAGACCAGTGGTTGGCAAACTCATTAGTCAACAGAGCTGCAGTTTGCTGACCATTGTCCTAGCTAGACAGAGTAAATAAATATGAAAGAAAGTTTTCATAAATGCCATTTTATAGAGACTATTGTATGTAGCCCAAGGGAAAATCAGAATAAAATAATAAGCACTTTATGTGTACGTGCCTCTCTGCAAACTGACTAGATAGATCATCTAATTGCAAAAGACTATTTGATCTAATAATATGCTATTTTGTACAAAAAAATTATCAAAACAAAGAACACAAAAGACTTGCTGAGTTAAATAAGTTTTCTTAAAACAAGAAAATAAAAGTTTTGTTATTTTCAAAGCAACTACAATTCTTTTAGGATTCATTTTACTTATATCATATGAATTTAGAGATAAGGTTGAAGCAATTACTCACATATAACTTTTTTACTCATGAGTTGTTGATAAACTATTACTGTTGTTTCTGATATGCTTTCTACTGAAATCTCTTCCATATACCTAAGTTAAATTCTGACGCTAGGCAGCTACAGTAGTGAACAAATTTTAATGTAATAAATTTTCACTAGTCAAAACTCTTGCATTAGCCAAACCCTAAACATTACAGGTTTCTTTCACACTAGCTGAAAAAAGCTAGGAAGTGTAACTTGAATCTCAGCACTGGGAACATTCTCATTCAGGGAAAGGAATGTTCTCTTTTGAATTTAAAATAGAAACACTGCTATTATAAAAACTTCATGAATTAAAAAGCTGCAAGACAAAAAGAAAATATACATTCGAAATTCTAATGGTAGAAAATAGGAAGGGATGAATAAAAAAAGCTAGGAAACTCAGCTTCTGGTCTGAGCACTTCCATGAGCTAGTTGTATGACTTTGGTCAACTCATTCAATCTCTCTAGGACTAATTTTTTCATTTGGAAATAAGAAGAAAGAAATAAGATGAGAAGATTTTTATGATTCTACCAAGTTAAAAAAAACAAACACACCACAGTTTTGTATTATTGGTAGCATGTCAATCGTTACAGGCCTTTGACTCAGAAAGTCTTCTTCAAAGAATTATCTCACAAATGTAGTGGTACATGTGATCAAAGATATGTATATCTGGACAAGAATGTTCAATGACAGCATTATTTGTATTAGCAAAAAGCCTGTGGAAAAATAATTCAATGTTCAGTAGAAGGCTAAGAAATTATATCATATTTACACAATGAAATACTATGAAGCCATTTAAAACACTGGGGAAATAATATGGAACAATCTTCAAAATAATGGTTATATAAGTAAAGCACTGCAAGGAATGCTGTGTTTTTAAAAAAGGGGGAATAATAACATACACACAAAAATACACAAATATACATTATTTATCCAAAAATATTTCTAATGAATATATTGTACAAGAAACTGAGTTTTTACTTCTGGGAAAGAAACTAGCTGTTTAAGGCAGAAAAAAAAAATTTCATTATAAGCCACTTCTTTTACTGTCTAATTTTATAATGTGTAACTTTTTTTACTAAATAAAAGAAAAACCCACAACATTTTTACTTAAAAACTTGTATTTCCCACACTTTAAATTACCCAAAACACCTTATTTACCAAATATGTGTCTTCTCTGACAAGAGATTACTATTTTATGCATGATTACCTTGAAAAGCCTAGGAAACACATCTGCTGGTTGTCCACGAATCACAAACAGACGAGAGTTCAATTTTCTCAGATTAGAATCAAGGTCTTCAAGACACTGAAGCAAAAATCTAGGGAGAGGATATTAATAAAGTTATTAAAATATATACTTAGAAGATATAAAATATTGCAAAATCATGTTATTCTAAAAGTTGAAATGCCAACTCCATCATCTTATCTCTTATCACCTCTAATCCTCCTATTTAATAAAAGAGTAATAGGCAGATTGACCATCACTCCAACACACAAGATGGCTGCCCCCATGTGGTCAAAGATCCCGTCCCTATGTGGACACAAGATGGCCATCACAAGATGGCCAGCAGGAAAGGGCAGTTGGAAGGGACCAGGCCTGCAAGGGAGGGCAGTTGGGGTGACCAGGCCTGCATGGAAGGGTAGTTGCGGGGGACCCAGGCCTGTAGGGGAGAGCAGTTGGGGGGGTACCAGGCCTGCAGGGAAGGACAGTAAGGGGCAAATAGGCTGGCAGAGGAGCAGTTAGGCATCAATCAGGCTGGCAGAGGAGTGGTTAGGGGGTGATCAGGCTAGCAGGCAGAAGCATTTAGGGTCAATCAGGAAGGCAGGCAGGCAGGTGAGCAGTTGGGAGCCAGCAGTCCTGGATTGTGAGAGGGCAGTCGGACATCCCTCAAAGGGTCCCAGATTGGAGAGGGTGCAGGCTGGGCTGAAGGACAACCCCCCTCACTGTGCACGAATTTTGTGCACTAGGCCTCTAGTATAAAATAAAAGGCTGATATGCAAATTGACCTAATGGCAGAACGACTGGTCAATATGACGCCCACTGACCACTAGGGGACAGATGCTCAAAGCAGGAGCTGCCCCCTGGTGGCCAGTGCACTCCCACAGGGGAAGTGCTGCTCAGCTAGAAGTCAGGCTCAGGAATGGTGTGTACAGGAGTGGTAGTGGGAGCCTCTCCTGCCTCTGTGGCAGCACTAAGGACTGGTGCAGGGAGCCTGCCACAGCCAGCAGTCAGACATCCTCTGAGGGCTCCCAGACTATGAGAAGGCTCAGGCCAGGCTAAGGAACACACCTCCCCCCCACCCTCCCCCACACACACCACCACCACCACCACCACCAAGTGCAAGAATTTCGTGCACTGGGCCTCTAGTTGATATATAAATTACTATTTCCAGAATCTATGTTTTCTAACTACAGCAAAAATTTCTTAGTATTCTTAACGAAGTTTCTAAATTAAATCACTAATTTCCATTAAATAATAGTGACTTAACAAAAGTTTAATTTGTAAATATAAAAATTATATTAATTAATAAAATAATTAGCCCTAGCCGGTTTGGTTCAGTAGATAGAGCATCAGCCTGTGGATTGAAGGGTCCCAGGCTTGATTCGGGCCAAGGGCACATGCCTGGATTGCAGGCTCGATTCCCGTAGGGGCCGTGCAGGAGGCAGCCAGTCAATGATTCTCTCTTATCATTGATGTTTCTCTCCTTCTTCCTTACTCTCTGAAATCTATAAAGAAATATATATTTTAAAAAAGGAAGAAAAATAATTAAATTAATTTATCTCATTGTTTAAACATGATCAGTTGAATTCAAGTTCATATAGACAAACGAATCTGAAAAATATAGAGCATTTTCTACTGGAAAAAAATATAGAAACATCCTATTTAATCACTCTGAGCAAATGAATAATTTAAACATTTGAGAATGTTACTGGGGGATACCATAATGATCTAGACCTTGTTATTTCTTTTTTTTTTATTTTTAAAGAAATTTCTTTATTGATTAAGGTATTGCATATGTGTCCTTATCCCTCCATTAAACCATGAACCACCCACCCCCCTCATGCCCTCACCCCCTGGTGTTCATGTCCATTGGTTAAGCTTACATTCATGCATACAAGTCCTTTGGTTGATCTCTCCTCCTTTTGCACCTCTCTTCCCCCCTTTCCTCTGAAGTCTGGCAATCTGATAGATGCTTCTCTGCTTCTGGATCTGTCCCTATTTATTTATGTTGTTCATTATATTCCAGAAATGAGTGAGATAACGTGGTATTTTTCTTTCTCTGACTGGCTTATTTCACTTAGCATAATGCTCTCCAGTTCCATCCATGCTGTTGCAAATGGTAAGAACTTGTTTTTTTTTTTTTTTTTTTACTGCAGTGTAGTATTCCGTTGTATAGATGTACCACAGTTTTTAATCCAATCATCTGCTGATGGGCACTAAATACTTAAAATAGATCTGCCAAACAATCTCTTTCAACTCTAATCCATTATATACAATAGTAAATATTCCTGAGGCACATTTTCATGTACAAAGATCTCCTATATAGTAAAGAACAAATTCTTTTCTTTGGCCACTAATTTAGGGTTCCCAGTTGATTTCCTACCACTCTCCTTTCCCTTCTACCAAAATAAACTACATCTCTTTTCCCTAGACATCCAATCTCCTGGAATTTGCTCCATGTTTTCCCTTGGCCTGGAAAACCTTTCCCAATTCCCATCTCTTCAAGTTCATATCCTACTCATCTTCAGTCTTCCAGCTGTAACTTCTTTATTCTCTGAACTGTCAAAGAACATAATGTACCTCATCCTAAAGAAGCTTTCAGATGGCACCTTATAGCTAATGCAAGCGCGCACGAGCGCGCGCACACGCACACACACACACACACACACACACACACACACACACACACCACCTTCTACTCCTGATGAATTTCAAATAAAGTATCTGTATTTCATTTCTAACTACACCTGTGTTTCCTAACCTGTGTTTTGGTTTCTAGATTTTGAAAACAAATCTCATCATGTGCTGTATACAATTTGTTGAAAAGATTAGAAATAGGATAAAATGAACTACAGAGTTGTCTTGTACAGTCTTGAAAGGATTATAAATAGCATAAAATTACCTAGTAGAATCATTAGTACTCGGCAGATATCATTAAACAGAAGTTATAATTATTCTTCCTTGGTAATAATTTATATATGTGGGTGTATATATTGATTTTAGACAAAGGAAGGAAGGGAAGTAGGGTGGGTGGGAGAGAGAGAAACACTGATGTGAGAAACATACAGCTACCTCTAGTACATGCCCCCACTGGAGATTGAACCTGAAACCTGGGTATGTGCCCTGACCGGGAATGGATCATACCACCTTTTGGTGCATGGGGTGGACGATGCTCCAACCAACTGGGTCACACTGGCCAGGGCCATAATTTATATTTTGGAAAAAAAGTAACGTGTATTTCTATATGCAAATACCTGGGCATGCCAACAGCAGACAATGAATTAGTCTACATACACCTATATACAGAATCATCTTGAATTTATCACTTCCCCTAAATGTGACTTTGGATAAAGGTTCCATGAAAATTTTTCCAGTGACAAGGTAAATGTGAATATGAATATATATGGCATGATAGAGTACAATTAAGACCCTGAATCAACTAATCTCTAAGCACATAATTCTTCCTTGATAATACCATAAAATAAAACCTACAATATCTCAGGTTCAAAGTATCAACTTATTGACAGATAGGATATCTTTTTAGTGCTGAACAAATAATGTTACTTGAAAGGGTGCTACATGAAGTCTAACCTTTCATCCTTTATCCTCAGCTGGGAAGCAAGTGAGCTCTCTCTGAGTTCAGATTCAGTCTGTTCCAGAGAATACACCAATTTCAACCTTCATTTATTACAAATACATGTGCCTTAGAACAGGTATCCAATATTGAATGGAATGATTTTAAATACTGTATATTGAAAATACAAAGGGCACACTTTTAACAGGAATAGATTTTCAGACCTCCAAGTTGGCATACTTAATGTTCCCTTGAAATTATAATCCTTTGAAGGTTAAATTAATAATGCTATTAACTACATACAACAGATTAGTTTTTAAATAGGCCTAAGGGCAGTAAAACACACTATATCCCTTTGCATAATTGTATTGCCTACACAGAAGCACAGTTCTCATGTTATTTAATTGTAACACTAACTGTACTAGTTCAAAATAAACTACAGATGTGCTAAGTGAGAAAATATATTTCTTCCCTTTAAACATTTTAAAGATTGTTTTTAACCTCCACAGGTCACTAGCTTACTACTGTTAGAAAAAACACATGCAGTGAGTTTCCTTATACCTCTTCCAAAGATGATTTCAGCATGAATCAACAGACGTTGTTTCTTAAAGTAGGTCACTGCCATAGCAACCAGTGGGTGGTTTGGTACACTCCCCGTCACAATGACCTACTTTCCAGCCTGTGCTAGAACAGCTTTATATAACTAGAATTTCTAGTTCTGTCTATAAAATAGTCTATAAAAGACAATGGTAGAATATGACACAACCCCTCTGGTGCTGAAAATAAGGCATTATGAATTAATATGTATCATACCAAGATAAAACCATCTGGTTCTGCAACTTTAGTTTATAAAATACATGTTCAACATTAAAAACTACACTTTGACTATCTAAGCTAAAACAAATCACTGCTGACTCTAAAGAACTGATTTAAAGAATATAAATTAAAATCATTAAAACCCCATGCATAATATTCTTTTTTTCCTCTGCATGAAACAATAAAATTAAGTTTAAAAAATTAAAGTTCTGGACATATTAACTATAATGAAGAAAAAATAGAGAGTTTCAGTTATTAACCAAAATCTATGGTATTTTATTAAAAATTTAAAATTATAAATTGCAATTTGTTTCCCTATACATTGCATAAAGTTTATATATGCTTTTTTTCTGGCTTGCAACAAATTCTTAGTGCTTTTAGCTAAATCATCTTTCAAACTGTCAGAATATCTTAAATATACATTTTCTATGGAGAGGAGTTTAATGTTAAGCAAAGATTATATACATATTTTAAAAGCAAATTTTGTATTTTGGAAGGCTCTAATGGTAATAAATCAGTGGATCTATACCATGTCACAGTGTCCATTTAATAAATGTTTTACAATGCCTTCTTTTAAATTATGAAATAAGATTCATAGATAGTATAGTATCTCTATATACACAATTTTAAAACATATATATTGCTCTACTATAATACATGGGAAAGGTCAGTTAAAGGAGGGTCATTTATATTTTAAAAGAAAGTAA